TCGCGTCTGCCTCGGGCAACCAAGCCGACCCACAGCTTATCTGAGCGCGAATTGACGACTCGCGCTTGGCAAAAGCAGCCTGCGCCGCCTTCTACAGGCCGCGCTACATCGTCTACACCCGCGCCCCAGCCGCAGGTGACGTCCCCTAACCGGTTTGCGCCGTTATCCGGCCAGATTGAGGAGGTGGATGAGGAGGAGGAGGAGCAGGAGGAGCAGAGTGCGCAGGAGGAGCGCAGGGAGCAGGCGCAGGATGAAGAGGCGCAGGACAGAGAGCGGGCAAGGCAGGAGATGATGCACTGGTCCGGGAGTGATGATGAGATTGGGATGACTGACAACACGCCCATCCCAGGAGCGCACGTTATGCAGGCCGGCCTCGACTACGTCTTCAGCGGCATCACTGAGGAGGACTGGTCAGTAGAACAAGCCCTCAACTACGCCCTCTCGACCACGGTCGCATCCGACGCGCAGCAAGGCGAGCCCAAGACGTTTGCAGAGGCGCTGCTACGTCCGGACAAGGCCAAGTGGATCGAGGCTGCGTTTGACGAGGTGCAGGCGCTGGTCGACAACGGCACGTTCGAGGTGGTCGAGCTGCCGCCCGGCAAGCGCGCTATTGGCAGCCGGTGGGTGTTCAAGGTCAAGCGCAATGCTGATGGGTCTATCGAGCGGTACAAGGCGCGCTGCGTTGCGCAGGGCTTCTTGCAGCGTCCCGGCTTCGAGTACACCGAGACGTTCGCTCCTACGCCGAAGTGGGCCGCTATCCGCGCTATCCTCGCCCTCGCCGCTATGGACGACCTCGTGCTCTACTCCATCGACATCAGCAACGCGTTCTTGAACGGCGACCTGGCCGAGGAGATCTACATGCGCCAACCGCCCGGCTTCAAGCTCGGCATTGATCCTGACAAGGACTATGTCTGGCGCTTGAAGAAGTCGCTCTATGGGCTGAAGCAGGCGAGTCATGTCTGGCACGAGACGCTGAACAGGGTGCTTGTAGAGATGGGCTTCACGCGCATCCTCTGCGACCACAGCGTGTGGGTGTATGGGCGCGGTGACGCGCGCATCCTCGTGCCCGTCTTTGTGGACGACATGACGATTGGGTGCAAGACTGATGCGCAGGCGCTCGGTATCATCGGCGAGCTGAAGAAGCACTTCAAGCTGCGCGAGCTGGGTCCTACCACCTGGCTACTGGGCGTTGCCATTGAGCGCGAGCGTAGCCAACGCACGCTGTCTCTTTCGCAGCGCCAGTACGCCGTGGACGTCCTCGAGCGGTTTGGCATGGCCGACTGCCACCCGGTCACCACCCCGCTCGACCCCTCGCACAAGCTCAGCGCTGCCGACGCTCCTGTCACGCCGGAGGACATCGAGTTCATGTCCACCCGCGCCAAGGAGTACGCCTCTGCCGTTGGTGCCATCGCCTGGCTCGCCCTCGCCACTCGTCCCGACCTCGCCTACCCGGTCTCCGTCCTCGCTCGCTTCACCGGCAACCCCGGCCGCCCACACTGGAACGCGCTCAAGCACCTCTTCCGCTATCTCAAGGGCACGCTTGACTACAAGCTGACCTACGACGGCAAGGCGGTGAACGCGCGCTCCGAGCTCTTCTACACCTACACCGACGCGGACCACGGCGGTAATCCGGACAACGGGCGGTCTACCAGCGGCCAGATCGTCATGATGGCGGGTGGAGCGGTCTCCTGGTCGTCCAAGCTGCAGACTATAGTCGCGCTTTCGACCACCGAGGCAGAGTACGTTGCGGCGTGCTCTGCCGGCCAGGAGATCCTGTGGATGCGCAACTTCCTGACCGAGTGTGGCTACTCGGTCAAGAGCGCGCCCTCCACCCTCTACATTGACAACAACTCGGCGCTGCAGGTGGCCAAGAACCCGGAGCATCATGGGCGCATGAAGCACCTGGACCTGCGCTTCTACTGGCTGCGCGATGAGGTGCATCGCGGCAGCATCCGCCTTGTTCATCTGCAGACAGCGGACATGCCGGCTGACATGATGACCAAGGCTTTGGGCCGGGTCAAACTGCAGCACATGGCAACGCTCTCTGGCCTTGGAGTTGGGCGCTAGGACGTGCTCGATCAAGGGGGTGTGTTGGAATCGGTGTCTACGCGCTCTCTAGCGCCTATGGTATTTTTCTGCGATTTTACGGACTTTTTCCCGGTACTGTACGCTTACCTACAGTCTTACTTGTGCGCTCGCGCCTTATTGCCGAGCGCCACATATTTCCTCGGCATTTGCCGTGCCCTCCTGCCTAGAGCGGCGCATCCGAGTCTTTTCTCTTCCTGACTCGTTTGCTGTCGCTCTAGGTGCGTAGTTATGCATTGTATCTCGCTACTTGTGAACCTGACTCGTTTGCTGTCGCTCTAGTGTGATCACTGGCTCGATTCTGCCTCGGACACTCGCGCCGTGCCTACAAGAAGATTTCTGCCTATGTCCAGTCTGATCCTAAGCGACCGCAGCGACACCAAGGTTCGCACACCATCGACTCGGGTGTGTCAAAGACCATGACCCCCGACGAGCGCCTCTTCGACGACAGCACTTACCGTGTCCTTGACCCGCCGCGCAACATCTACCTCGGGAATGAGTCCGTCATCAAGGCAGTAGGCATTGGCACCGCCTGCTTTGCCTCCAAGACGCCAAACGGTGTGCGCGCGCTGACTATCCGGAAGACACTGCATGTCCCCGACCTCGCATTGACGCTCATCTCGGTGCCCCAGATCACCAAGCGTGGTCTGCGCGTGTCCTTTAAGGACAACGCATGCACAATCCGCGACTCCTCCGGCGATATCGCCTGCGTCGCAACACGCAAACACGGTCTCTACCACGTCGACTGTCAGCCCATCGGCATGGATGAGCGCGCCTTTGTCCGAGGCAGAATCGAGCCAGTGATCACACTAGAGCGACAGCAAACGAGTCAGGATCATATTCAGCAGTACAGAACGCATAACTACGCACCTAGAGCGACAGCAAACGAGTCAGGAAGAGAAAAGACTCGGATGCGCCGCTCTAGGCAGGAGGGCACGGCAAATGCCGAGGAAATATGTGGCGCTCGGCAATAAGGCGCGAGCGCACAAGTAGGACTGTAGGTAAGCGTACAGTACCGGGAAAAAGTCCGAAAAATCACAGAAAAATACCATAGGCGCTAGAGAGCGCGTAGACACCGATTCCAACAGTCTTGCTCGATTTAGGCCACGGGGCTCATAACCTTTCACGAGCTAAATAAGCGCAGAGAGCGCAAGACCTCAGTCTTCCTGCGTATAGGATAGCAACTGAATTCATACCTAAATAAGTGCAGAGAGCGCAAGACTAAAGTACAGTCAGTATAAGTAAGAGTAAAGTAAGTAAAAGACATACCCTCAGTCTTCCTGCGTATAGGATAGCGACTGAGGGAAAAGGAAAGGTAGGTACACGCGTATGTACGGGGCCATCCGGGCAAAGCGTGGGGAAAAGTCATGTGATCTCAACTCTTGGAACTTACATAAGCAGTTCCAAGGGTTGAGGTCACATGACCTGGCTGAAGGTAGACTCACCACTAAACACCACTTTTGACAAAGTCCAATCGCTACCACTAAGGAAGCAAAGGGCAATGAGGAGGAGTGCAAGCAGTTTGATGTTGACGACCGCAAGGCACGTGGTGCCATCATCATGGGTAAGAACACGAAGACGCACAGTTAATGGAATGTCTGCTGTAGTGAAGGATATAAATGTCAGGAAAGAGCACATTTGACTATTTTGATGAATTTGAGAAGGAGCAGAACATGCGCAATTCGACCTGCAAGGACCAGTCGAAAATTGTGGCTGTGCAGGCAAAGTCGGGCCGATCGAGCATGTGGAAAGTTAGAGACAGTATCTTACACAGGACTACCGGTAAACACCTCAGGGTACCACTTATGTAGACCTCTTAGCATATATAGATGTGTGTGATTTGTATGCTAAGAGCCCTGAAAACTGCTATCCTTAATCGCTATTTTGGCAGCCTCTCGGATTGGGCTGGGATTGAATGTATGGGGTCCTAGGGTGGTAGGGAGGTCATCCCCAGATGCGGGGGCAGATCGGGGAGGGGCAGGAAAATTAGCGCATGCACTATTTAATTAGGGCGCGCGCTATTTTGGCGGCACCTGCGTACTTGCTCCTAGCTTCTTATCTACCTTCCTACTGCCATATATACCCCCAATTATGGCAAATGGGACAGGTGGTAGCTCCCTATGCCCTTGAAATCCAGCTTGCTTGTATGTCTGCCTCAATTCAGATGTTGTATAGTAAATACAGGACTTCTCATATAACCAACAATCTGACCATAAATATTCAATCTATTGCTAAGCATTGCTTGTCTCAAGTCATGAGATCTATCTCAGACTCTGCTTGTGAAGTATGCCTTTGCGATCGAAGTTCAGACCAAGTCCTCATATCAGGACAAGCACTAAATAAGCAATGCACTTGTTCATCCATTGTGTAAGAAGCACACACACTTATTAGCGCATGCACTCAATAGAACACGCACTAAATAGGACAGGCACTAAATAGTGCACACCCTATTTAGCGCTTGCCTTAATTAACGCGCGCCCTAATTAGCAAGTGCCCTAATTAGTGCATGCCTTATTTAGGGCACGCACTAAATAGTGCACACCCTATTTAGCGCGCGCCTTAATTAGTGCATGCACTAATTAGTCCACGTCCTATTTAGCGCACACCTTATTTAACACGCGCCCTAATTAGGGCGCGCCCTAATTAGCGCACACCTTAATTAGGGCGCACCTTAATTAGTGAACATGCTAAATAGTGCTCGCCCTAAGTAGTGTATTTACTGATATCCATTCACTTAGGCAGTTCATGCCATTATAGGCCCAGAATGGGAGTATATTGAGAAGAATATATTCTAGTTGGGTTAATTAAAAGGTCCAAGATCTCCTCCTCCACCCCACATTGTATGAGATCATTGCACTGTGTAAGCTGGCAAGGGGATAGCATGAGGTACATCAGGTGAAAGAGGTGCAGAAGGATCAGGAGGGCTTGGAAATGAGATGGAAGGAGTCAGAGACAGCAATCGGGACTGTGATTGGGCAGATAGCAGCTTTGTTGTTGGTACTGAAGCTTTTGCATTCCTGGCTTCAAATAGGCTAGGACAGGTTTTTAAGTATTGATAGAGCATGCAAAGCATAACAGAGACACACCACTGATTTTATCAACACTTGGCAGTGAATCATCAGAGAGGGGATGACTGAACTCGCGTGTTGGTAGTGCTTTGCTTTTGTGGGGGGTAGGTCTATAAGCATCAGATGAACTGTTGGTGTTCCCATCCTCTAGGTCTGCATGAGCAGGAACAGGTGCACAATTCCTTGTGCTCCGATAGAGATGTGACCTGGTCTCTACGTGACAAGGCAATGCTTCTTGGTAACTATCATCCTCGCTCTCAATATCGGCGTCTTGTTTGTGTTCTTGTTGTCGAATAACTGTCCTGATCTTCAGTAACCAATATGCACATTGAAAAGGCCTTTCACCTTCCGAGCGCTTCTTGACCGCTGCCTTCAAATCAGAGGCCTTTAGTGAAGGGATACCATCTATGTCTTGCACCAGCACCACCGCAAGATATGGTACTGATCCTTCAACATAAGATTTCTCATCTGTGCAGTGTAAGTGCGCGTACTGTCATCAACATACAAGTGGTACGCATGCTTCGACCAGGGTTCTAATTGTAGTAGCCCCTTGTCAACATGATCACAAAATACCGTCCCTTGTATTTGGGTGAGAGTTTCAGTTTTGAAGCCTTTATCTGGGTAGTGGAAAGTTGAGTGTATACATCCACCAAAATTCAAGTTACTCACTAGAGGCAGGCATGGTTTTGTCCCAACCAATAATTCAAAGCTTTTTCTCAAGCAGCTTCTTTGGTACTGAGGACCAATGAAAGCGAGACGGGCACCAATCAGTCCTTTGTGCTATACAGAGATCAGCATGACTCTTGTACAATGTATACCAAGGACATACCAAATTGGGCTTGTATAGAGCTCCTAAAACAGGCGCGGAGCGACGCTGCTGTTACCCCTCTACTCGTAGACGTTGAGGGAGTGGTAGTAGTAACTGGAGCAGCCCTCTGCTTTCCCTTTAACTTTGCACTGGTTATGTGCCCAGTATCAGTGGGGTCATCCCCAGCAGGCTGATCAGGATGCTTCAGATAGGTATTCTTAGATTGACAAAGACGCACTGATCTGTTTTGAGGAGTCAGATCACCACATATAGTAAGAAATTAGCTCAAAGTGCGCACTGAAGGATGGTTGACAATTCAAGGTACGTCTTGAGCACAATGCTGGTGTTGGCGGTCAAAACCTAGATATGATCAGCGTGTTAGCTAGCAGGCAGTCTCGTAGTTCAACTCACATCCCAAGCCAGAGGAGAGCCACAGAATAACTTTGCATCTCGGGGAGGATGGTGGTCATCTCCGACGTAGACAATTGCACCAAGAACAATGATATCATCGGTGGCCACTTACACTTTTGCCTGCATCAACAGAGAAACAATAGTGCGATGATCTTACTGGAAAAACACTTACAGCTTCCTGCAGCTGGCGTTGGCATGCGTTGATTTGCACTCCAGCGGGGACGTTGACAATATCTTTGCCAAGCCTAACTAGGTCGGCCCGTATCTTGCGTCGTAGTTTGTCCTTGGCCTGATCCAAGATACCAGTTACTTTTTTAATGTAGTCTTCTGTACAACGTGCATTGTAATTAAGGCGGGATTCTAATAAAGGAGTTATTATCAACCAAAAGTCAGAGATGAGAATACTTACCTTCTGGGTGTTTAGGGTGGACGATGCGATAGCGCTGGCGGTGGAGGTTCGCAAGATTAGCTTTGCGACCATATGGGACCTCAAGCATCATTTGACGCCAAACCGAGTTGACAGTGCGATTGTAGACCTTCGCATAGTAGCGCACAGCTTCTGTCAAGTGCATTCCTAGACGCCGAAGAACAGATACTGTTGAAATCGGTGTCTACGCGCTCTCTAGCGCCTATGGTATTTTTCTGCTATTTTACGGACTTTTTCCCGGTACTGTACGCTTACTTACAGTCCTATCTCTGCGCTCGCGCCTTATTGCCGAGCGCCACATATTTCCTCGGCTTTTGCCGGCCCCTCCTGCCTAGAGTGGCGCATCCGAGTCTTTTCTCTTCCTGACTCGTTTGCTGTCGCTCTAGGTGCGTAGTTATGCGTTGTATCTCGCTACTTATGAATCTGACTCGTTTGCTGTCGCTCTAGTGTGATCACTGGCTCGATTCTACCTTGGACAGATACATGTGATTTTCTCCAAGGCCCCTTGGTGCGCTTCTTTGACGATTCGTCCTTTGGACTGTCTCCACTACGCTCCTGCATTGGTTCCTTCTCATCCTCCCAGTCGTCTTCAAACTGCTGTCCAGCAATCTGAGATGGAGAGGGAGACTGGGGCGGTGTCACCATAAAGTTCAGTTCACCGGACGCTAGCTTGTTGGGCGTGTGTGTCTGCGCTTCAGCCTCTGCTTCAGCGAGCATAGCACCCAGCTCGCTGGGAGGCTTGAGAGTGATAGGATTGGCGCCTGAAGGTGAATGAGCAGTGGGACCTGCTGCTAAATGCAAGAGCGTACCTAGTGGTTGATCTTCTTGGTTGACACCTTCATCATCAATTATGCGGTCCTCATCGCAGTCATCGCTGTCATCTCCTTCATCATCAAGGCTGCCAAAGCTGCCTGTCATATGTCGTTCAGTAAAGGAATGACATCTGGGACGTGAAACCTACTGTCGGAATTGCTACCTCTTGTTCTAGGCCATTGGTTCTCAATCTGTAGCCTTGTCGGTGGGAGTTGTACGCAAAGGTTTGTTCAGGAGAGGGGCGCGGTGGGGAACGCAAGTATCTATGGGATGTGGAGGGTACGTCTATAGTAGGAGTGTTCTCTCTGGAAAGGTCGTCTACCATATGTGCGTTGTTATTGCTCGTAACTTCAATCTCGTCCATTGGTATGTTATGAACAGAGGAAGGATGCTCTAATGGCAGCATAGATAGGGGAAGATCTGTTGGTAGTGGAGGAATTTCATCAACTGCGTACTGGCTGGACATAGTCACGTTGCCATCCCCATCCTGTGAATTATGGGTTGAGGAAGGAGAAGCAGGTCTACTAAATGTGGGAGGACGAGGAGGAACCTCGACGAAGTCCAATACTTGTTGCCTTGGCTTTGGAACTACTGGTAAAGAAGCAGGAGGCGGAGCGTCAGGGGTTGGTGGTACAGATGTGTGTTGGAATCGGTGTCTACGCGCTCTCTAGCGCCTGTGGTATTTTTCTGCGATTTTACGGACTTTTTCCCGGTACTGTACGCTTACTTACAGTCCTATCTCTGCGCTCGCGCCTTATTCCCGAGCGCCACATATTTCCTTGGCATTTGCCGGTCCCTCCTGCCTAGAGCGGCACATCCGAGTCTTTTCTCTTCCTGACTTGTTTGCTGTCGCTCTAGGTGCGTAGTTATGCGTTCTGTACTGCTGAATATACATCTGACTCGTTTGCTGTCGCTCTAGTGTGATCACTGGCTCGATTCTGCCTCGGACAATGTGAGCAGTGAGGAAGTAATCAGATTGAGAACAGTGTTTGATAGTGTCGAGGGTGAATGAGGTGAGGGTGAACAAGGTGCTGGCTTTGTGCGCTTTGAGGAGGGTGCCTCAGGCTCTGGCGCTCCACGCTTGGATGCACCGGAGCGACGGGTGGGACGACGAGGGTGAATGATTGGTACTGCTCTGACGGCTGCAGATGCTGCAATATTGGTGGTGCCCACGGTGTTCAGTGCATCCACCAAGTCGGCAGTGCCTGCAGCGTCTAGGAGTATCCAGTCAGGCAGGGCAAGCCAGATACAAAGAGCTTCAGACTCACCTTCCTCGGTGTCCTCATCGATCAGGACCAAGGGCATCTTCGATGATGCCCTCTTTCTCTTGCACTTCTTTGAGGCTTTCTTTGGTTTGGGGCGGCCGGAAGGCCTGGCCAAAGCAGCGATACCCTCTTTCTGCAGTATTGTTAGAGAGACCCACTGTATAGATATATGTCACATACCATCTTCGCCGTCTTTTGCTGTGTTGCTGCCCGATTCGATCACCTTGGCCTGTCTGTCTCCACAACCTTATCCTTGCCTTTTTTACTAGGTAGTGGGTCAGGAAGACATTCAATGGATGGCAGCATCCCAATGTACGCCATGATAGAAGGTCTCCCGCGTGATACAATGTAGGTGATGGAAGTGGAGGACACGAGACCGCGTTGTGGACGGCCAACGCCCACATGGATTGGACTTCAGCCCCGATCAATCAACCGTTGGTTCGAATCTGACTCTAACCAGTTCACTGTCCGTCGCTCAGCCATAGATAACTCCTCTGTTGCCTCAGTTAGCCCCCAAAAGACAGAGGGTTGGTGATCCTTAGGTATACTGTTGATATGACATGATTTCTCTAATATATAAAACCAAAGAAGGTGAGCTCTGCGCACATGAAGTGGGATACGCAAAGGAACAGGGATGTCCTTGTGATTGATCTTACCCCACTTGTGCAGGTGCACCATGAAGCTCATGCAGTAGATGCCACAATCAATGGCATTATTCTGCCTGGGAACCTGTATAGCAGCTTAGTCCAGCCTGAATGAAAATCTTGAACAAACGTACATCAGGCGGATCAGCAAACCATTGCCATTTTGTTCTCCACCAATCTTTGTCCACGGGTAATTTCTTGAGCTCCCAGACTGCTTGCATACAGTCTCGCATCCTCTGCAAGGTATGGTAAGCTACATAGACTGCGTGAGAAGTAAGATGCACCTGGAAGAGCACTCTATTCTCCTGGGCGTTTGTCAGCAAGCTGTCGTACACGGTGCCATGGCGGTTGACAAAGTCCATGACAAACAGACACCAATGATTACCATGGACGTGTAGAGGGATCAGTAGTAGCTTCAGGTCCTTGACGTTAGATGCATCAATGAGCTGTGAAAAAGTCAGCGGCAATGGTTGATGTGCAAAGATACTGCAAGCAACGCACCTTGAGTCCACCAAAACGCGCTGCCAGCTTGGTTCCTTGTTCTGAGAAACACCGGCTGCCGTCCTTTGGGTTCGCAGGGAATATCTCTTGGTGGCAGGCAACGGGACATGAGGGCTACAACAACGTTGTGATGCGACTGAGGATTATGCATGAACAGCTCGATGAAGAAGTTGATGATCTCATCGTTAAGCCACTGGTTAGATGCCAGCCGTAAGATGTGCTCCCTGTTCAAGGTGAAGTAGGAAGCCGGTAGCGGTGCGCTGGTGCTGGGGGACTTTGCCGCTATAGGACGTTTTAGAACGCGGATGGAGGTGAATGACGCAGATTTGATGATCGCTATTTGCTAGAAGCGCGTGAGCAATTGACAAGAGCTAAAAGGGACGCAGAACACTCATAGACTCGAGTACTCTACGAGGCAATTCCATGTCACTGCCCCATTCAATGAACTTGAGGTGCAGATGTTGATAGTGGGTGCGAGCGGCCTGTACGGTGTCCCTGATATTGTTGGAGGCTTGGAAAGCAGCGGACACACAATCCGGTGGCGCACGTTCATGGAGCAGGAGCTTGAGAAACTCATCCCCTGCAGACAAAACAGGATCTGAGCGGGTACATTGGTGCAGCATCTTCATGCAATTGTAGCCCGCTTGCCACCGGGGATAGTCGCTAGCATAGAGGTCTCGCTCAATGGCATTTGCACGCAGAGACAGTCTCTTCTTGTCGATCACATGCCCCTGCAACAGCGCTTCTGCACAAATCATTAAGCAACGATGCCCATGGGCCAAGCTGCAGGAACGCACCTAAGCTGCCCTCCCTCACCCAAGTGCAGAACAAATCCTGCCAGGACTTGTAGAGCACCGTCACCTCTTTACTGACCGGATGACCGAATAATTGACAAGTTCCCTTGCCCACTGATCCCAATACAGATCCTGCCACCACCGCCTCCTTCGCCTTCGCCTTCCCCTTGCAGTCTTTGGGGGCAGGAGTCTCATCCTCCTGGCTGAGCGTAGACCCCAGATCCACGGGAGTTCCCATGTTTTCAATCGGGGGGGCTAATAAGAGGTGAGCACCAAGCAAAGTACCCAGAAACTTGCACTTACCGGCCTGGTACTGCGCGGCCTCCGGGTCGGGATTGCTCATGGCTGTAGTCAGCCAAGGGTGCTGATTTTCTCGCTCATCAGTTTTGGAACACATGCACTACTGACCACATACCTTTCGCCTCACACTGAGCGATTCTTCTGTCAGTTGCGGCTACCTCAGGCGAGCGACAACGACGTGTTGTCCAAATCGCCCAAAGGGGATATGCTGACCGAGGCAGAATCGAGCCAGTGATCACACTAGAGCAACAGCAAACGAGTCAGGAAGAGAAGAGACTCGGATGTGCCGCTCTAGGCAGGAGGGCACGGCAAATGCCGAGGAAATATGTGGCGCTCGGCAATAAGGCGCGAGCGCACAAGTAAGACTGTAGGTAAGCGTACAGTACCGGGAAAAAGTCCGTAAAATCGCAGAAAAATACCATAGGCGCTAGAGAGCGCGTAGACACCGATTCCAACACACCCCCTTGATCGAGCACGTCCTAGCGCCCAACTCCAAGGCCAGAGAGCGTTGCCATGTGCTGCAGCTTGACCCGGCCCAAGGCCTTGGTCAGCATGTCAGCCGGCATGTCCGCTGTCTGCAGATGGACAAGGCGGATGCTGCCGCGATGCACCTCATCGCGCAGCCAGTAGAAGCGCAGGTCCAGGTGCTTCATGCGCCCATGATGCTCCGGGTTCTTGGCCACCTGCAGCGCCGAGTTGTTGTCAATGTAGAGGGTGGAGGGCGCGCTCTTAACCGAGTAGCCACACTCGGTCAGGAAGTTGCGCATCCACAGGATCTCCTGGCCAGCAGAGCACGCCGCAACGTACTCTGCCTCAGTGGTCGAAAGCGCGACTATAGTCTGCAGCTTGGACGACCAGGAGACCGCTCCACCCGCCATCATAACAATCTGGCCGCTGGTAGACCGACCGTTGTCCGGATTACCGCCGTGGTCCGCGTCAGTGTAGGTGTAGAAGAGCTCGGAGCGCGCGTTCACCGCCTTGCCATTGTAGGTCAGCTTGTAGTCAAGCGTGCTCTTGAGATAGCGGAAGAGGTGCTTGAGCGCGTTCCAGTGCGGGCGGCCAGGGTTGCCGGTGAAGCGAGCGAGGACGGAGACCGGGTAGGCGAGGTCGGGACGAGTGGCGAGGGCGAGCCAGGCAATGGCGCCAACAGCAGAGGCGTACTCCTTGGCGCGGGTAGACATGAACTCGATGTCTTCCGGCGTGACAGGAGCGTCGGCGGCGCTGAGCTTCTGCGAGGGGTTGAGCGGAGTGGTGACCGGGCTGCACTCGGCCATGCCAAACCGCTCGAGGACGTCCGTGGCATACTGGCGCTGCGAAAGAGACAGCGTGCGCCGGCTGCGCTCGCGCTCAATGGCAACGCCCAGTAGCCAGGTGGTAGGACCCAACTCGCGCAGCTTGAAGTGCTTCTTCAGCTCGCCGATGATACCGAGCGCCTGCGCGTCAGTCTTGCACCCAATCGTCATGTCGTCCACAAAGACGGGCACGAGGATGCGCGCGTCACCGCGCCCATACACCCACACGCTGTGGTCGCAGAGAATGCGCGTGAAGCCCATCTCTACAAGCACCTTGTTCAGCGTCTCGTGCCAGACATGACTCGCCTGCTTCAGCCCATAGAGCGACTTCTTCAAGCGCCAGACATAGTCCTTGTCAGGATCAATGCCGAGCTTGAAACTGGGCGGTTGGCGCATGTAGATCTCCTCGGCCAGCTCGCCATTCAAGAACGCGTTGCTGATGTCGATGGAGTAGAGCACGAGGTCGTCCATGGCGGCGAGGGCGAGGATAGCGCGGATGGCGGCCCACTTTGGCGTAGGGGCGAACGTCTCGGTGTACTCGAAGCCGGGACGCTGCGAGAAGCCCTGCGCGACGCAGCGCGCCTTGTACCGCTCGATAGACCCATCAGCATTGCGCTTGACCTTGAACACCCACCAGCTGCCAATAGCGCGCTTGCCGGGCGGCAGCTCGACCACCTCGAACGTGCCGTTGTCGACCAGCGCCTGCACCTCGTCGAATGCGGCCTCGATCCACTTGGCCTTGTCCGGGCGAAGCAGCGCTTCAGCAAACGTCTTGGGCTCGCCTTGCTGCGGGTCGGACGCGACCGTGGTCGAAAGGGCGTAGTTGAGGGCTTGTTCTACTGACCAGTCCTCCTCGGTGATGCCGCTGAAGACGTAGTCGAGGCCGGCCTGCATAACGTGCGCTCCTGGGATAGGCGTCTCATCAGTGATCTGAAGCTCATCCTCACTCCCTGACCACTCCATCATCCTGCGCCTCGCCTCCGCTCTGTTCTGCGCATCATCCTCCTGCGCCTGCTCCCTGCGCTCCTCCTGCTCACTCTGCTCCTCCTGCTCCTCCTCCTCCTCATCCACCTCCTCAATCTGGCCGGATAACGGCGCAAACCGGTTAGGGGACGTCACCTGCGGCTGGGGCGCGGGTGTAGACGATGTAGCGCGGCCTGTAGAAGGCGGCGCAGGCTGCTTTTGCCAAGCGCGAGTCGTCAATTCGCGCTCAGATAAGCTGTGGGTTGGCTTGGTTGCCCGAGGCAGACGCGACGGTGGCGGTCCGCTCGAGGTAGACGGCCGAACTGTCTCCCAAGCAGGGGACGGACTGCGCTCAGGGCGCGGCGCTGGCTGCTGCTCCTGCGCGCGCTCCTGCCTGCCTCTCAGCGCGGCCTTGCTAGGCGGCGCGGTGCGAGGCGGGCGGGGCGCAGAGGGCGGCGGCGGACGCGCGCTAGGCGGTGTGGTAGGCTCAGCTGGCTGCTGAAACGGCGTAGAGGGTGCCGGCGGCGATGTGGGCGGCGGTGTGCGCAGCTGAGGCGCAGCAGGCGCTGGCGGTCCGGATGGGGGAGGTGGCTGATCATCATAGAGCGCGACACCATCGTCATCTGCGCTATGACGATGGGTAGAGGGCGACGGCACATCACCCCCTTGATCAGCAACATCCCCAAAGTCCGGAAGGCCTTCACCTCGGTCTATAATCTCCGCAGTGATGAGATTGAGGCTCTTGAGCGACGTACCCGGCATATAGCGCTCGTCAAAGACCGCATGCGAAGAGATAACCGTCTTCTTGGTGGCCGGGTTGTAGAACAACCAGGCCTTGGTCCCCGGAGGGTACCCCAAGAAGATGCACTTCTGAGAGTGCGGCTCGAGCGCGCGCCGGTGCTTGTCCTTCACCAGAACATAGGCCAGACACCCAAAGACGCGGAAGTAGCCGACATCCGGCGTCTTGCCAGTCCAGGCGATGTGGGGGGTGGTGTCGCCAGGCAGAGCGGAGGTAGGAGCGCGGTTGGCAACGTGGTTGTAGGCGGCTATGGCGTAGGCCCAGAATGAAGGCGGCAGCTTCGCTTCATAGAGCATAGAGCTAGCGCCATTGGCAAGGGTTAGATTAGCACGCTCAGCAACGCCGTTCTGATGCGGCTCATCTGGCTCTGTGATCTCCAACCGCCACCCCTCCTTCAGCGCCGCGTCCTTCATGACATTGGAGATGTACTCGCCACCCCCATCGCAGCGCAGTACCTCCAAGCGCTGACCGCTCTCCACCTCAGCGGCGGCCTTGAACTGCTGGATAGCAGCCCAGGCGTCGCTCTTGCGCTTCAAATACGCCACCCAGCGCCGCCGCGTCTTGTCGTCTATGAAGGTGATCCAGTAGAGGTTCGCCCCCTCTCTGGATGCGACCGGCATAGGACCCTTCAAATCGGTGTGAACCAACTCGAGGGGACGCGTAGCGCGCTCTCCCGGACCGCGCGGTACCGCCTTGCGCGTCTGCTTGCCCATGATACATGGCTCGCAGATCGGGTCCGGCGCCTCCTTGCTCTCAAACCGCATGCCCCTCACCAGCGTGCGCTGCCGCAGCTTCGCAATATCCCCATGGTTGACGTGCGCAAAGCGGCGGTGCCAGAGCGCAGCGTCGAGCGGGAGCGTGGTAGAGGCGGCGCGCTGCGCGCTGTGCGCAGGAGGAACGACGACGTAGCCGTCCAAGTAGCCTGTGTTCGAGTCGTCCACAGTAGCGGTGCAGACGAGCGCCCCAGCGCGATAGAAGGCGACGCGCTTGTCCTTGATGCTGACCTCGTACCCCTTGTGCGCAGTGAGGTGGTAGATGGATAGTAGATTCGAGGTAAGCAAAGGAACATGAAGGACGTCAAAGAACACGATAGGCGTAAGCAACTTCTCCCCCTCCACCGGCTGGTACTCCACCGACCCGATGCCCGCCGAGTAGACGATCGCGCCGTTTGCTAGGCGAACAGGAACACGATGCGGCGAGTAGGTGACGAACCAATCTCGCCGCGGCGTCATGTGTAGAGACGCACCTGTGTCGGTGTTGAAGTTAGCCGCAGCCTTGGACTGGAGCCACTCCTTGAGAGCGGGGGAGGAAGTGAAAGCGCTTGCCTGGCCAGCAGACTCGACGCGCGCAGCAGCGGCGGAGGTAGACGGCGTAGAGGACGCCTCGGAGGGGCCGGAGGAGGGCGCAGAGGACGCGCCAGACGCGTTGGCGCCGCCCTTGTTCTTCTTCTTCTGCTGGCGCTTCGAGGTAGAAGCAGCAGCGGCGGCCTCCTCCTCCTTCTTCCAGTCGGGCTTGAACTTGGGGCAGTCGCGGATGAGATGCGGTCCCTTGCAGTTGTAGCACTCGGGCGTGTACCCGGCGCGGTTGGCTGCGAGGGGGGTGCCGTCCGCCGTCATCCGGTGCGAGGCGAACTCGCGCGCGATCATGTCCTTGACCGTCTCGTAGGTGAGCGCCTTGTCGAGCAGGAGGGACGTGTACATGTTGGCGTGCTGCGGGTTGGGGGAGACGGCGAGCGCGCGCATGGTGACCATCGCCTTCAGCTCGAGGTCCATCGTGGCTACGTCATAGCCGGTCGAGGGGCGCAGGGACTGGACGCGCGTCATGGCCTCGTCGACGCGCGAGAGGAGGTCGGTGAGGGCAGTGGTGGCCTCGGCGTCGTCGCCCAGGTTGACGTCGAAGAAGTCAGAGAGCGCAGCAAAGCGCGTGCCAGCCTCCTGGATGTTGAAGGCGGTCTTCATCGCGTCATAGAGGTCCTTGGGCGTGCTGCGC